GTCGACATTGCGCCGCCAATCCTGTCGACGCTGCGCCGCCGATCTTTTCGATCCTGTGCGAGCCATGCCCGCCCACTTTTGGGCGCTGCGAGGGGCGGGGGGATTCTTGGGGGGTCTGGTCGGCGGGCCGTGGGCCCGCCGATGCCTGCTCTCCGTTTGCGTGGAGTCCCCGCCCAAGCGCTGGCGGGCGAGGGCGAGCCGGATGGCGCTCAGAAATCTGGGGGGGGGGGCGAGGAGGAAGGAGGGGCGTGGGCCGCCAGGCCCCGCCGTTAAAGCGCGCGCGCCCGCGCCTGCGCGGAGGGGCGCGGGGGCAGGATGGGGGGGGGGGGCGCGGCGAGCCGGCGCCAACGTGCAGGAGGAGAGGGGGGGGGCGAAGGGCGGGAGGGGCGGGGGGGGGCGGAGGGCGTCGGCGGCGGTCGGGGGGTCGTCGTGGGTCGTTGTGGGTCGGGTGGCGTCGGGGTCGTCGTGGGCGTGGGGGCCTGGGGGCCGCCGTGGCAGGGCCCGCTGGGCATCGGGCGGGGCGGGCAGGGTCCGGGGGGTCGTCGCTGGTCGCCGCGGCGCTGGGGGCCGTCGTGGGGCGGCGGGGCGGCGTGTGTCAGGGGTCGTCGGGGGAAGGGGGGGCGGGGGGCCGGCCGGCGCCGTCTGCGACCCGCGCGGCGTCGGCTGCGGCCGCCGCCGTGGCCGCCGCGAGGCGCGCGGCCGCCGCCCCCGTCGACGGCTGCAGCCGCCGCAGCACCGCCCGCGCATTCTCCCGATGAAGGGGGAATGAGAATCGCTGAGCGGGCTGGTCCGCCACTGCAGCGGCCCCCTCCCCAGTGGCGTCGGCCGCCCGCTTAGCTGGGATCACGGAGGCTCTCCCGGCGTTGCGCCCCCGCCCGCCGCCGTGGGCGCATTCCGCCGTGGGCGTGGAGTTGAGGCCCTGCGCCGCGCGCTGGCGCTCGGTGTCCTTGAACTCCTTGTGGCGCTCCGTGGCCGCGCTGGAGGGCGCGGCGGGGGCGGGGGGGAGGTCGGCGCGAAGCCCGGAAGTGACGGCGAAGTTCCAGGCTGTTGGCACCCCGTTGCGTCACCCGGGCAGGTGGGCGAAAGTGCGGCGGCGGTCGCCGGCGCCCAGGTCCTGCCCGTCCAGCTCGCCGCGCGGCGGCCCCTCGCTGCTGTGGCGCGCGGCGGAAGGGGCGCCGGCCGGTCCAGCTCTGCCCCCGCGAAGCCTGCCGCCTGCGCGTCGAAGAACCCCTGGTTCCGGAGCGCATTGTGCCGCTTTGTCCTGTCCCCATCGGCAAGGGCAGACAATCGCGCGGTCTAGCCGGACGTCCATCGCGTCCCCGCGCGGGGCAGAAGTCGCCGTGGTCAAGGAGCTGGGCTCGGAGTCGTCGCTGGACAGCCACCAGGTAGAGGCCGTGCCGGAGGCGGGCGCCCGCGGCTTCGCAGGGTGGCGCCTGGAGGTAGGCGCCGGCGCCGGGCGCCTGGGGCAGGCTCAGGTGCACCTGTGTGGCGACAGGCGCCGGTCCGGAGGCTCGCGAGCGCTGCGTCGTCCACTGCGTCGCTGGGTGTCTGCTGGTTGCCGTGCTGCTCCGGGTCGAAGTCCGCCCTGTTCGCGTCTGAGACGAAGGCGTTGTGGGCCTGCGCCGCGTTCGCCCGCAGCGCCCCCGTCGTGCCCTGCCTCGTCGCTGTAGCCCGGGTGGGGCTGCCTGGGCTGCCCGCGGAGCGCGTCGCAGGCGTCTCGGGGCGCCGCGTGGGCGGCGGCCGCGCGCTGCCCCCCCGAGCGCAGCTTGAGTTGTGCCTGTCGCCAAGACGCGTCGGTGAGCGAGCGGCCGACCACCTGCTCGAGGCGAGCCCGTCGCCCTGTCGTCCAGCTCCTGCAGGGCCGCCGCGTGCGCGGTGGGCGGCGCCGCCCGTGCGCTGTAGCCCGGTGTGCAGGGCGACGCGCGCTGGCGCAGGAGGTGCAGGCCGACCTGCGCGCCCTCCAGTGCCCTCAGCGGGTCGGCGAGCTCCTGCGCCGCAGAGGCCCGGTTCTTCCTGCGTTGGCAGCAGTAGTCGTCGTCGCCGACAGGCGCCCCGAGAAGCTCGATGCACCTGTCCGTGCGGAGGCGGAAGCGATGCAGGAAGGCGTTGATGGCTACTGCGTTTTCAGAGCCGCTAGCTGTGACCACCTCGCACTTTCCGGGGCCTTTGCTGAGCGGGGGCCCCGTGGCGACGAGGGCGGCGACCGGCTCGCAGAGGAGGTGCGCCACGGAGCGCTGACAGTCGCCCGTCGGGGTCCCGTCGCCCAGGAAGAAACCTTGAGGTCGACCGGGCCCGGGGGCGCAGGCCGGGCACGGTCGGGGGCGGCGCGAAGGACCTGTTCCGCGCGCCGCTGGACAGCGAGCGCGAGAAGCAAAGGTCCAAGAAGGTCGCGTCGCTGGATTCCGCACTCCGGGCGGATCCTGTGCTTGCCGAGGCGAAGGAAAGACGGGCGCGAGTTGCGCCGGTCGACCCGCGGCGCCAAGCTGGGGAACTCCTCGTGGAGGGCCCTGAGCAAAGCCTGTCTGTCCAGGGTGTTGAACGCGTTGGAGAGGTCAAGCTTGACGTAAACCTTCGCGCGGTGCCCCAAGTAGCGCGCCCACCGCTGGCGGT